TGGAGAACAAAGGGCTAATTAAAATAGGCATTTCTCTCCTTCTATCACATGGATCCCAGGTATTAAACTCAAGTTGACTAAGTTAGCAGCAAGAACTTTTACTAGCTGACTCATCTTATATGGCCCTAAACACTGACTTTTTTAAAATAAATAATTATTTTTTTGTAAAAAAATACATTTTCAGTATTTTTTAGTTCATGCAATAAATACCTTTTTTAATTCCTTTCCTCCCAATCATCCCACATAACCCTCCACTCTTTCCATTAAATTAATGAGCTCTTTTTTCCCTACACAAGTTATTGTATGTATATGCTTATACATACATATATTTATACACATACTTATTACTATATATAACCTCTGCAGTCTGTATAATGTTACTTGTATGTATGTCTTCAGGGATGACCATTTGGCATTGCACAATGAGTTGATGTGCTTTTCCTGGGGAGAATCACTGCTCCTACTCCCAGGTATCCATAATTGCCTATCCAATTTGGCACATTCAGTGGTATCATCCTTGTTCAGCACTTTTTTTAGTCATACAATATATTTTGATATTATTCTTATCCTCCACAAAAACTTCTAGATCCTCTCCATCTTCCTACCCACCTGATTTCATCTTTCTCTCCCTCTTTCCACAGTAGAAAAGAAAAAATTCCTGATATTTGAAACAATATAAATAAATCTAAAATGTGTAGAATAACACTCATTGAGAATGTAGTGTGGAAATTCAGGCATAAATTATTGCACACAGCAATTCATGCAACAAAATTGGAGCATGAACCGTGACTGATATCAAAGATAAGTGGTTCCATGGCCTCTATATGGGGAACCAAGCATGCAAGCAGTGCTGATAGAATTGAGGATGGCATGTCCATGGGACAATTTCTGATAGCTGCCTACCCACAAGTACCATGAGATGATTTGCCTTTTTGCTATATTGGCGAGAGTATGGTCCTTCTCATGGGTGTCATGGCATGCCATTATGTTTAAGACATCTGAGAATGGAATGTTCTTAGGGACAATCCCAGAGTGGATATCTGAGTATACATGATATTCAAAGCCATGCCTACATAATAAATAGGGTCTACCTTGTAAGTGTGGAGATATCCTTAAAATTATTGATGAACTAAACTTTATATCAGCATCCATACAAGTAGTGCATATTGATTATGATTATATTCAAGGTGTGGAACCTGTTGAGTGGCCTTTTTATTGGACAGTAAGATTTCTAGACATGCTGAGTTGTCTGTATAGAAATAATTTGCTCTGCAAGAGATGAGTTACTGTGAGGAAAAGACATGAACATGCATTCATCCTGTGATTTGGCAAAAGCATTTAAAAATGAAGGATGGCATGGGGTGTTGATTTACCTGTTTCTGTTATTGTTTTGAACAGGGTTTTACTATGTAGTCCTGTCTGAGTGGGGACACTGTGTAGCTGTTCAGTTCAGGCTGGCCTCAAGTGCAGAGAAATCTACCTACTTTTCTCTTTGAATCCTGGAAATAAAGGTGTGTATGTGACCACAATGGGTCATTTTTAATAGCCTTAAGTATACAGGGAAAAGAGAATAACATTCTAATTTTACTAAAGATCACATTCTTGGTGCCAAAGACTTGCAACCCATACAAAGAACCATACAGTGAAGAGGGATACAGTGAGTTAGAAATGATAAAATATTTTACTCAGGTTTAACTCTTAATATACAGAAAGGGAACATATATGATTCAATGCACAGCCAGAGACCCTAATGATGCATAAATAGAGGAAAGTATAATAATTAGTGAACATTCTGCATCAGAATTGCTGAAATTGCCAAAATTTTTATGTTGATATTGTTTTTATTGTTGTTTTGAGACAGGAAATCATTATGTACATCTGGCTGGTCTGTAATTTGCAATGCAGACCAGGGTGGCCTAAAAGTCAAGGAGATCAATTGTACTGTTTTGGAATCAATCTCCCCCAAGATCCAGCTATACCACTCTTGGGCATATACCCAAGGAATTCCCAGTCATACCACAAGGGCACTTGCTCAGCTATGTTCATATCAGCATTGTTTGTAATAGCCAGAACCTGGAAACAGCCTAGATGCCCTTCAACTGAAGAATGGATAAATAAAATGTGGTACATATACACAATGGAATACTACTCAGCAGAGAAAAACAATGACATCATAAGGTTTGCAGGCAAATGGATGGATCTAGAAAAAATCATCCTGAGTGAGGTAACCTAGACTCAGAAAGACAAACATGGTATGTACTCACTCATAGGAGGATACTAGTTGTGGAACATGGATGACTGGACTGCTACTCACAACACCAGGGAGGCTACATGGAAAATAGGACCCCAAGAAAGACACAGGGATTGCCCAATGATGGAGAAATGGATGAGATCTACATGAACAGCCTGGACGTGAGTGGGGGTAATGAAAGACAAGGGTCGAGGGAAAGAGAGCTTGGGGGAGCGGGAGATCCCAGCTGGATCAAGAACAGAGAGGGAGAACAAGGAATAGGAGACCATGATAAATGAAGACCATATGAGAATAGGAAGAAGCAAAGTGCTGGAGAGGCCCACAGAAATCAACAAAGATACCCCCACAATAGACTGCTGGCAATGCTCGAGAGACAGCCCGAACTGACCTACTCTGGTGATAGGATGGCCAAACACCCTAACTGTCATGCTAGAAACTCCATCCAATTACTGAGGGAACTGGATGCAGAGATCCATGGCTAGTCCCCGGGTGGAGCTTTGGAAGTCCAACAGGCGAGAAAGAGGAGGGTTTATATGAGAGAGAATTGTCGAGACCAAGGTTGGATAAAGCACAGGGACAAATAGCCAAATAAATGGAAACACATAAACTATGAACCAATGGCTGAGGGGCCCCCAACTGGATCAGGCCCTCTGAATGGGTGAGACAGTTTATTGGCTTCATCTGTTGGGGAGGCATCCAGGCATTGGAACCGGGTCCTATGCTCAGTGCATGAGTTGGATGTTTGAAACCTGGGGCTTATGCAGTGATGTTTGGCTCAGCTGGGAGGAGGGGACTGGACATGCCTGGACTGAGTCTACCAGGTTGATCTCAATCCTTGGGGGAGTCTTTGCCCTGGAGGAGATGGGAATGGGGGAAGTGATGGCGGGAAGGGAAGGGGCACAGGAGGGGGGAGAACAAGGGAATCCGTGGCTGATATGTAGAATTAAATTATATGTAAAATAAAATAAAATAAAATAAAAGTCACGGAGATCAATTGGTCTGGTTTAAGGCTTCTGGCCTCTAGCACACCATCATCACTGGACCTACCTCACCAAAACTCCTCTTGGATAAACTGTTCCACAGTGCCATGGAGACCCTAAAGCTATCATTCTGCAGGACCAGTCCCTTCACATGCTCCTTCAGGTCATAGATGAGGTAGATGTTAGGGTGAGCCAACCCAAGGCCTGGGATGTGGATGAGGCAGATGTTAGGGTGGGACAAACCAAGGCTTGGGTGATATCTGAGATGGTTAGCCTTGGCCACTAGGACTGTCCCCTACAGGTGAGGGGTAGACCTGGCTCTCACATACCCATGGTGAAGGGAGGAAACACAACTCCTGAGTGTTGGGGCCAGCTTTCCCATGACAGGTGGGGCAAACTCTTCTGCTGTAGAGCCTAGTCAAGGGCAGGGCCAGATATCTCAGGGTCAATGAATAATGGGGCGGTCTCAGCACAGCCCTCAGATTACAACACCCATAAATCCTATGAGCCACTGTAATAATTTGGGCCATGGATATCAACACACACTCCAATTACAGCATGAACATGGCCCCAGACATGGAGAGTTGGGAAAGAACTTGGAGGAGTAGAAGGAAGGAAAATTGTTGTCATGATATATTGTATTAGAAAGGAATCAATTATCATTAAAAGGAAATAATATGCAAAGACCATTTTGAAATAAAAAAAATACAATTACAAAAAATACCCCAAACCTCCAATGAACAAACAAAAAAGGTACATATCCCTGTGGATATCTCTGTCAGAGGGTACCTAAAGACAAATTCTCCATACCATTTGCATATCTTATAAACATGAAATAGATGACATATCAAAACCATGTATTTCTCAAAGCATCAGTCTATTGTCATATCAGGACAACATTTCAAAAAATGAATATACCAATAAATAAAAAATAATACATAAAGACACCGAAGCATGTTCCCAATGTTCAATCTAGATCACCTGAAAGATCATGCAGAAAGTTATTATTTGCACCAATGTAGACTGTAGCTCTGTATGGAAGAGACACTCTTCCTTTACTCACACTGGCCATTCTGCTGACATGCCCACTCCTCTCTTGTGATCCTCAAGTGTAACACACACACAGACATACAGACCGGCACACACACCTAAATTCACTCTGTCCACCACTCTAATTTATAGTAACTTTGGAAAACCCTTTCCTTTATTATAACTATCCTATCATCAGAAATCATACTTACTTGATCCTTCTAACCATTCAGAAACCTGCAGTTGGAAACCACCACGGTCTGTGGTGTTGCCACTCTGCTGTTAATGTGTATCTTAACTCTCAAGTATTTCATCCCTTCACATCGTTCATGGCATGGCAGACACTAAATTCAATTCCTATTCAGAATGGTGACTTTGTGCAACATCCCTGTACCAGAACAAATATTCATTTCTGTTTGGTCAATAACCCGTATTCCCACACAGCAACAATCCACAACACTGCCTGGGCTTTGAAGTGTTAATGTTCACCCTGGAAGAGTACAGAGATAAAGTGGAAGGACTGATTGAGGGAACAAGAGGAGGGGCACTGTGCGGCCAGGACAATACAGGGTAGAACAAAGGAAGGAAGGTCTTGATCTGATAGCTTTCTGATCTGATTCCTCAGAGCCAAAGACTATAGATCTATATAACAATGTTAAATCCATACAGATTTGCAAAAATTAATGGGCAAAGATGATGTCTGTCTATGAAACACACAACAGGGCCCAGAGGGAGCTGACCTTGGTTGCTGCATTGTCCTGATGACCATTCCTCAGGTGGATGTGACAGGCATCTTTGACTCCCTCTCCTCTGAGCAGGACCTGCTGCTGCACTGACTTGACTCATCACATTCCCAACCCCCAGCCTGTGCTAGTGAACCAGCAGCTCCCTGCAATCACGCATGCGTGCATGTTTGCCAGGCTTCAGGGTCTCAATAATCTTTTCTGAACCTAATGACGTAAGGCAGGCATCCATGAGCTTTAAGCTTTCGTTTTGCTAGTATGGAAAATGAGGGTCTTCATAAATACCTGTATAAACTGATCAGGATCAAATTCAAGATGTTTTTGTGGGCAATATAAACTACATAATCTTAATTTATATCCCACTTTAGATCTGCTTAGGAAAGGCTGCTTAGGAAAAATGTAACCTAAACTAGAAAGGTACAAAATGCTAGATACTTGAAGCATTGGCAGGAGAAATCACTAACAATTAAAAGATTCTATATTTAAAACATTCTGCATTAGTCAGTTTTAACTTTTTTCTTTTATTATTTTTAAGGTTTTAAGTTGTTCAGGTAAAGTGAAATTCTTACCATGGATATAATAATTGTTGTTTTTAAGAAAGTGTTGGGTTACCATTCAATGATTAAATTTCTTTACTCACTTTTTAAAAAAATCCTTGCTGTGATGTAGATTTTATGTTAATTATTTATTTTTTTGAGACAGTCTCACTGGTTAGAGCTTGCTGGCCTGGGGATGCAGTTTGTAGACCAAACTGTGATTATACTCAAAAAGATCTACCAGCTTCTGCCTCTTGAGGGCTGAAAGTAAAGGCATGTGCCATCAGGATTAGCTGGATTTTATTATTTTTAATTATTCATGTGTTCTCTCTCTCTCTCTCTCTCTCTCTCTCTCTCTCTCTCTCTGTCTGTCTCTGTATGCATGTGTGTCTGTCTGTCTGTCTCTGTCTCTGTCTCTGTATGAGTGTTTGTGTCTCTGTGTGTGTGTCTGTGTGTGTGTGTGAAGTAAACACACATGTAGAGGTTTTAATGGAGTGCAGTGACTCTGTATGCTCCCAGAGCTGGAGTTATTACGAGGTTCCTGACATGGGGCTGGGAACTGGACTCGAGCCCTCTTGCAGAGTATTAGTTGCTTGTAACAGCTGAATCATCTCTTCAGCTCTCCTATTCACATTTATGCCTTGATAAGTCAGATCCCTTCTGAAAATGCAAACAAACAAAAGAACAAAATCTAGATAAATATGTATACATTCCATTTTTTAAATAAATGTAACTAACATGATATTGACGTAATACTGCATGATCAAAGACTACATAGACAAAGAAATTCATAGGGAATTATTGAATGACCTTTGAAATTGGAAAACTTGAACTGTGCACTATTAAATAATGAAAGGGAAAGATCGGCAAAAATAAAAATGTGTTTTTGTAAGAAATTATATATTTTCCATCAGTAAAGTTAGCTACTCCAAATATACATAAGGTACTCCTTTGGAAGTACTGTCCCTGTTAAGGTTTTCCACTCCAGTTTGAAGAGGAAGAGGAAAGAAGAACACAGGGATTCTTGGAGAGAATCTTTCATTGCTGATACATGGGTAAACAAAGCCCTAGCATTTGCCTTATTCAGCTCCCTCCTCCATGAAGTCATTGTAGGGAGAGTGCCTTTAACAACCTCATTAAGTTGTGCCTGTGGAAATAGGGGAAAGAGACAAAGAGTAGCTGCTGTAGCAGCCAACTGAAGAACAGCTGCCATTCTCCTAGGTCAGAGGTGCACAGCCTCTTACAATCTAATCTTACAATAGGAAGGACAGCTGTCTCAGCTCCTGTGTGTACATACCCTGCTTCCTGTCCCATGGCAGCACTTACAGGAGTTCTCCTGGTGTGGCTAAATTTGCTGCAATGTAGGAATGAACAGATAAGGACGTTTGTATCTTTACTCATGCAATACTGTGAGGAGGGGATGGCCACCCTCAAACCACCATGCTCTGGACAATCTGTCCCTCTGCAGCTGGTGCCAAGTTTGAGAACTTTAAATTATGCTGAAAGGATACCCCTGACATCTTTCATTGTCAATATACCTTTCAAATATTGGTTCCTAACATGAGAAAAGCCTGGGAAACCACAATGCAGTAGAGCTTTCTTTTTTAAAATTTGAGAGGATGCCTGGCAGCAAGTATTCGCTAAGACTTATCTGTTCTGTTTTTATTAAAGACAGTGTTGCCTTCAATAGCAGTATCTGACCAGGAAGCAGCTTTGTAGAATAGGCTGGCCTTGAATTTATAGCATTCCACCTGCATCTGCCTCCTAACACTGAGATTAAAAGTTATTCTATTATGACTAATCTGATTTTCAGATTTTATACAGTAGTCAAGGATTAGATAGAAGCTAGCAAAACAGAAAACCAAATGTTGCATCTACTTATATATTGTAGGTCAAGGTGGCATTAGGACTCTGAAAACACCTAATTAAATCCCTGTATTTTAAAATAAAATACAGTTTCAATCCTACAAGTTATGAATAATTGTGGATATATTTGTAAAATTGTCAGTATGTTGATTTTGGAGGCACTGTGTTGTAGAGTTCCTAACTAGGACACAGAAAGTCAATTGTTTAGTGTAAAGGGTTTTACTAAGGATCCCCATATTGGCAAAAAAAGTTCTAGAATGTAGCAGCTTGGTTTCACAGTGTTTTTTCAAAGTATAATAATTTGTTTTCACACATATCTATGAAGTATAATCAAAACATGATTCTTTTTTGTTTGATGTTGTATTTTCTTTGAGACATGGTTTTTTGCTGGGTAGACTCAGCTGTCCTGGTATTAGCTCTATAGACCATATTGGCCTTTAACTCAGAAACATCCACCTCCCTTTGCCTCTGGAGTGCTGGGATTTGAGGTATTTTCCAACACTGCATGTCTGGGAACATTTTTCTTAACTTGTAAGTAAACATCTTAGTTACATTTTCTGGTTCTATGATAAAATACCCTACCCTTTAGGTAGGAAGGGTTAAGTTTGTGTCACAGATCCCTTCCTTGGGGAAAAAAAGTCACAGTGTCAGAAACTTGAGGCTGGTGGTAAATCGTGATCAAGAAGCAGAGAGCAATGAAGGATACAGCTCAGCTACTATTTTCCATTATTGCAGAGTCCTGGACAGGTCTTTTCACTTCAATTATATTAATTCAGATAATCCTGCTCAAGCATGGCATAGGCCTTTTTCCAGGTAATTCTAGATCTCATCAAATTCGAAACAGAGAATAACCATCTCAATAGTATCTAAGAATAAAATTAACTGTATGAGGTGTGCAAATGAATCTATAATATGAAACTCTATTGGTAAAAACCATGCCTGTGTAATGTGTGCCTTTGTTTTCCGTTCTACCATTGTCAATAGTTTTAGCTCAGTGAGTTACTTAACTTTCTGTGTACTGCTTATCATATCTGTATAATGAAAAGTGTTTATGTTGACATAATTCATTTGTCAGTTAACATGGATATTTAGAAGAGTCCTTGCAGTGTGGAATTAGCAGATCTTAAATTCTACCAAATGATACATGGTATACTATCTAGGAATATAAAGAAATGCATAGTTACTGTTTTTGTCATTCCTGATAGAAGTCTTCTTGGTTTAGACTCATTTTCACCAAAATCCCTGTTTTTGTAGCCCATAATTCTAGTTTACATGTGATAGTTATATTATTCATATCTCTTGCCTTTTCCTTGGCTCTGAATATTGGAGTCCTCCCCTTCTTTCTTTTCTCCCATATATAATTTATTCTGTCCTCCATCCTTTCTTAATTTTGGGACTTTGAGAAAGAGTCTTATTCTGTTATGTAGGGTGTCCTCAAACTTGTAGTAATCCTTTGGCTTTTATCTCTTGAATGATAGGACTACATGTGTGAGCTAATATGCTTAGAATATTCCCCCTCCCCATTTTAAATGTGCTTTTTGCTTTTATCATTAATTACTTTTACAATTAAAATTTTAGTATCAAATTCCAGGCATGGTGACATATGCATTTAATTCCAACTCTTTAAATTTTTTTTTTTTTTTTGGTTTTTCGAGACCGGGTTTCTCTGAGTAGCTTTGCGCCTTTCCTGGAACTCACTTGGTAGCCCAGGTTGGCCTCGAACTCACAGAGATCCGCCTGGCTCTGCCTCCCGAGTGCTGGGATTAAAGGCGTGCGCCACCACCGCCCGGCAATTCCAACTCTTTAAATGTAGAGGCACATTGTTCATTTTGAGTTTAACTCCTGCCAGGTCCACATAGTACATTCCAGGTCATCTAGGATTACATATTTATAGCTGTCTCAACAATAACAAAAGTAAATAAACAAAATTAAAATAATAGTATCAAAATATTATTTTTGATCTTTCTATATATTGAGTGGGAACAGCAGGTTGCTGGTGTAGCAGCTTATATCTCAAACCACAGAACAGAAGCAGAGAGAGCTAACTTGAAATATGAGCTCCTTGTAAAATCAATGACACGTAAAGGTTTTGCCTTATAATTGTCAGCTACAACCAATGAAATAATAAAGAATCTTTAATGTCATTTTATTTGAGATCATAGTTTTCTGAAGAAAGCCTGGTAAAACTACATCCCATGAAATCAGGGAAAAGATTACTAAAGATGAGTCCTTAAAAGTCTGTATTATATAAAGATAGATCTTAAACAAGGAACCATGGATAACTTCCAAGGGAGCAGAGAAAGAACAGAGTGATAAAGTGTGAAAGAGGAATTGTGGATTAGAAAGTATTACTTGTTGGTCAGGATGGGAGAAAAAGTCAGAGGAAGAAACATGTGGAGGGATTAATAGTGATAAAAACCTTCTGAAAAAGTACTTTTGCAGAGCTTCCTAATAATAATAATGATAATACTAATATATATATATATATATAAACTCACACACACAAATATAAAGAGTTTAAATGGATCAGCATGTCAGTTCTTATGCCAATACCATGCAGTTTTTATTACTATAACTCTGTAGCACAGCCTGAAATCAGGTATGGTGATAGCTACAGCAGTTCTTTTATTGTTTAGCATTGTTTCACGAATCCTCCATTTTTTCCATTGAAGTTAGGTATCGTCTTTTTAATGTCTCTAAAAAATTGTGTTGGAATTTTGATTGGGGACGCAGTGAAT